TCGTTTCCGGCTCGTCAACCCACTGCTCTTGCGACCCTTTAAATTCAGAATGAAAACATGTAAGCGCTGCTCCTGTCTGCGCGCGAGCAATGAGTGAAGCGGCTCTACCCTCCTCGCGGACACTCCCACCACCGCCACCGGTGAAGTGCAGTCACGCGGAGATGTAATCATGGTTTTCAAATTCATTATCCCCAAAGGGTGCTCGTCCTCTGCGATTTTCATTTTTAAGTATCTTCATTGTTATCGTCACAAGTCACAACTATCTGTCCTATCACAAGTTCACATCTTCATCCAACTCTCCCACACTTATACTCAATCATCACTCCCGGTGTATGTGCACATCATCATTATCCAGCATACCGGAATCTTCTGCCATAACATTGTCATCACTGTAAGCTTCATCATGGTCATTATTATCGAAGGTGCTTAAGCAACTGGCTAAGATACTGCTAAGATGTATAGACCTTTTTTTTTAGCATGTCATAATGTGAAAAGCACAGGTGTAATAAAAAATGTAAATATAATTTAGCTGCTTCAGTTTCACAGGTATCATCATCATCATCATGTTGATCTTTATTAGCCTCATCTTAATTATTATCACCTCTTCATTCACCTTCAGCATCAAAAGTAATTTCTCTTGTTCTGGGCCTTTTAACATATATTCATTGCTTTTCTAATAAACTAATGTCCTTCTAAAATACAATAATTATCCCTGCAATTATTAGAGCAGATAATAAAAGAGTATTTATTAATGGCAAAGAGACCTGAAAAATGTGTTTAGGTGGGGGGTCTGTCCCAGAGCCAGTCAGTGTGTTAGTCACCACTTCTCAACAGCGATTGTATATCCAGGTGGGCTTTATTAGATCCAGGGCCAAAGCGATGATTAGGACACATGGTTGAAAGCACTATTTGTTTACATGAAACTTTAAACCAGCAGAAGAGTCATCCCTGTTGGCATGAGATGAAGAAAGTAGCACCGTCGTTTTGATTTAGGGGAAATATATAAATATTTAGTATTGGCAGTATTGTTTTTTGGCCCAGTAGTGGAAATTTGACTTGATTATTTCCTCGTATTGAAAGGACATCCTTCTGCAGGTTGAATTATAGTCAAGAACAGTGATTAATAACCATTCTGTCTTGTTAACCCTTAAAACTAAGATATTAGTGTGGCTTTCTAATAATTATTGTCACTATCAAATCATTTTCTGAATACTTAAGTTTGGTAAATCTTTTTTAGAAGAGAGCTTCTAAAGAGTTTCTTTAATTGAACCAAGAGGTCAAAACCCAAATATATGTATTGTAGTTTACTATAAGACAAAGAGAAGAATCAAATTCTGACATTTGAGAAGTCTAAATTAGCAAATGTTTGGAAATAAAATGGCTACAACAAAATAATCATCCACCAAAAAAGTTGCTGATAAACATCATTTTTGACTAAATGACAGCATTAAAGTATTGGCTACTGATATTTACTTACGACCCCCCATCGGCTTTCACTCCGTAGACATGAGTTTTAAGTTACCAAATACTTTTCCAAACCATCAGCTTGAGATCCACTGGTCTAGACAGTCCTACGACTATAACAAGACCTCAACACTGCATCACCAAAGAGACAAATATAAAGTTAGAAAGAGAGACCACATGTGAATAAATAATGTGCTGTGAAGCCAACGTGTAGTCATTGTGTTCAGAAGCATACACACCTGACCTCAGAGAACCAAGGCAGTCCTTAAATCAGAAAGCATGGAATCAATTATTACACACACACACACACACACACACACACACACACACACACACACACACACACACACACACACACACACACACACACACACACACACACACACACACACACCACACACAGACCACACACACACACACAACACACAGACACACACACACACACACACACACACAGACACACACACACACACACACACACAGTCGATTTACAAACAGTTGCCCTATGCCCATTATTTAAATGACCATAAAAATATTTCATATTTTCACAAAACACCCCACTCAGGTTTCTAAATAAACCATTAGGGGAGCAAAGACCCTCCCCAACACATACTCAAACTTCACAGACACACACACTCACACACAAACACGCGCGCACACACACACATGACAAAAGCATTCACCGTCTGTTCAAATCTGCTTGTTGATTAAAGCCAAATGTCTTTGAAACTCATGAAAAGAGAGAGAGAAAATGATGAAGAGCGGTAAACAGACAGAGAGGACCTAGAGACAGAAAGAAAGAAAGAAAAAAGAAAGAAAGAAACAAACAAACATTGAAGAACATAGATGTATCAGAATCGTAGCTCTTAACCAAGCATAGATCATCTAGATAAGGTGACTGAACACCAACATACTTTTCTATCACTTTTTTTCTAACAGACTTTTCACCCAGATTTTTACATTTATATTGCTAGCAATCTAGATTTAGATATTGATGTAAATGTGTTTTGAAAACGAGTGTACTCCGTCCGAGTATCAGGCTAAGTAATCAAGGCTAGATCATTCATTGATGACCGACTTTGGTGCTTCAAGGAATTTCGGGGTTAAAATTACTTGTCTACAAAAACAAATCTGGAGTTCAGGTAATCATTAGTACACATTGACCTTGTGTAATTATCAAGGATACTTTCAAATGTATCTTTATTTATTATCTTGTAGAGCCAAGAAGAAGTTGAAAGTGATGATGTAGGAGCTTTCATAAAGTTCATTACTCATCATGTTGTGGGCCATAAAAAATGAATATGATTAACTATCAATGCATTCAACGACGATTGACAATTGCAGGCAGACTGAAAAATAAAAACGGATTTGTAATAAAAATCTCGTTACATCTAAGGAGGAGACAGCGGTTTAGTTGAATTTTCCATGGTGCTGCTTTATAAATGTTCCCTGTAACTGAGTTTTTGCTGAAAAAAGGATGCATGTGGGGTAAGGACCGTTTAAGGACCTTAACAGATGCTACAAATGCTATAAACATATTGACCTAAGTGTTCTTAAACTGAGTGTGTAAATCAGTATTGTGTGGGAAGTGGTTGTACTGTCCAGTCTAATTATCTAACAATAACACAAGGATCATTTTGTTGATTAATGTCGAAGGGGAAGCTATTGTGCTACATGATAGCCCTCTGATGATTGAATCTTATTAATCGGTCTGTTGGAAATCTGTCTTCTGGATCTCAACTAACCACATTAACACATTTTTATCACAACTAAACCCAGCCGAATTAACCGTCTCTATGAACTACAAAACAAAGAAGCTGTTTCCAATTTTCAAATATGATCTCTATGCATTTAACATGTCACTGATCAAATCCACACTGTGTCATCTACTGAATCCCAATCCATTGAACTGTTTCTGTCACAACTCCTACATGTTGTTATTATTCCTGTCCAACATTATTGAAGTGGTCAGAGATTATTCCCTGCAGCTGGTACTACTCACCGCTCATCTGTTAGTTGTCTGATCTCTGTCACCTTTTAAGTCTTCAATATAAATGTTTCTCAAACCATGGTCCAGGGACCCATAGGTGACTCATTGTGAATGCTCAGGGCAGTCAGTGTTCGTCAGGAGCAAAGTGAGGAAGGCTGTTTCTGAATGAAGCTACACTGTCACTTTGTGGTACATCACAGCAATTGCTGTTTGAAATGAAACACATCAGTTTTTGTTTATTTTAGTTAACTTTATTAGTTATTTTAGTTAACACTTGGCATTGCATTATGATAACATTCTCTTTTATTTAGCTTTTGAAAAACAGTGTATACATTATTGAAAATAAACATATTAGTTTGCAACATTATTGGGTTCACAGTCACATTTTAACTACTTCCATATTGACCATGTGGTCTTGTTACTTCCTGTGCTAATGAAATAGCCCTGCAGCACATAGCTTTACATCATATATTATTGTGAGGACTTAATGTGACATTCAAGACATAAGACATTCAATTGTAAACTCATACAAAAAATCCTAGAAAAAACTATGTTTTTATAATTACATTACATTAATTTAGCTAACACACCCCACAGTACATTTCCACTATGAGATACCCACAGAATTTCCACTTTATCACTTGTGCTGGAATGTTTATATGCAGACTGTAGGGGTGTAACGGTATCCGTATTCGTCCCGTACCGTCACGGTTCGGACGTCACGGTTCGGCACACACAGTCACACGACGAATACGCATTTTTTTACGAGTGGGAAAAAAAGCGTCATTCAGGGCAGTATCCACTACACTATTTATAATCCAGGGGGCGGTATTGCGCCTAAAAGCTGTTTGCCAGCCGCCCTTAAACAACAAATGAAGAACAAGAAGAAACACAACAACAAAACGAACAAAATACAAGAAGAAGAAAAGTTAGTATGGTGATTTCAGATAACACACAGGATCTAGAACCCACCTGCTTCTTTTAAATCAGCTGTGTGGGAACATTTCGGATTCCCTGTGGACTACAATAACGATGGAGTGTGCGAGTGGTGGATCGGACGAGGACGGTGTGTCGCCGTTGTTCTACAGTGGTGCGGTATGCTAATGGTAACACACGCCAAACATGCTAAATCATATCAGAAGGCATCACCCACATTTGCCAATCACCGGAGCAAAAGACAACAGCAGTTCAACAGCTGATCCCCGCCATGAGACCAAAATAAATAACGGAAGCTTTTGGCATATGTTTTTCAATGACTTTGCGCTCTTGAAACACTTTCTTATTATTTATGATGTAATATTTTCAAGACATTCTTTTTAGCTTTACAGCTTGATGAAACCTTTTTGTTTGACATCAGCCATTATAGATAATATGGCCATCTGAGTGTACTGTGTAAGGTTTGTTTTTAACTGTTTAATACAGTTAATTATTCAAAAAAGAGTTCTTTTTAAAAAAAAACTGAAACTTGCACTACTGTTCAAACATAAATAACAACAAACCTGGAATTATGCATTTGGGACTTTATGCATTACGAACCGAACCGTGACTTCTGTGAACCGTTACACCCCTAGCAGACTGTGTTACTAATCTCCTATTTTATTAAATGTTTTCTTTTGTAACCTCGACATTCTTTTTGACACAGCTGTCACCTGAGTTGCTATCCTTCCCACTGTCTGCTGCACAGCCCTACAGATTGTTTTGTAACCTTGGTGAAAGAATGTATTTGTGCAAATTGTTCAGAATAACACAGACAGATACTGACTCCAGTCTGACCTTGTGCTGTCCTACTCCCACCATGCAGGGCTGCCTTTATCTTTCCGTTGAAATGGCTTCATTTGCCTGTTGTGTATCTCTTCCTCTCCTAAAGGTACAATGGGTACAATACATCATTTATCTCAAGAACAAAATCCACTCCGGTCCAGTGTGGGGCGGTAATGGCGCGACCAGGATGAGAAACCGTCGAAGAAGAAAGAGGCGGAACAGCGGCGGATGTTTTGGAAACCGGCTGGGATTTGGGCCATGGATGTATAGATTTGGGTAGGTTAACTCTCTCTGCTGTAAATTATAAATTATTCTTACTATGAGTACTTTTTAACCACTGAAATACTGTACGCGAACACTTCTGACAGCATTAAAACATTAAACTAGCTGTACTGTAGCGATGTTGATGCTATTTTCCTCAGCTAGCGTCTGTTAAAGTTAGCTAAAGGTTTATCTTTGGATGTGTGTTGTGTATCTAAAGGTCAGGACAACACGTATTCTATTGTTTTTACTTTAGACATTACTTCAATGTGGATTTGTTTATGTTTGTGTCATTACACATTGCACCCAGTTTGGTCCTCATGTAGTTAACAACTTGTTGGGAGTTTTGAACACTGTATAGATTTAGTAATGTGCAGTCGTAGACGCTGCACTTATCGATTATTACATTGACCGGAAGATAATCGCTAACTTTGACAATCGATTAATCATTATGTAATTGTTCACGTAATACTGTCAGAAAAAAGTGTTATTTGTCAGATAATTTACAGATTTGTATCTTCACTTTCAACTTGTATATGTTCTACTTCTTTAGTTCTGTTTTATTTCTATTTTTGAAATGTTTCTATTTTATAATTGTTTATTTTCTACTCTTTTTAAATTCTAATTATGTGCAATGCCCTTGTTTTGTATGCTTCTATAACGAAAACATTTCCAAATTTGGGATCAATAAAGTATATCTTATCGATGAGGAACATTAGGGTATTACATTTTTTACATGCAGCCTACATGTTCTAGAATAAAGCAGTAAAAATAAGTAGCAGCGTATTAATTATAAGATAATGGCGGCAATACAATAATTATTATTGACAGCTCAAGACATAGATTGTAAGATTTAGGGGATATTTCCATTTTACTTTCTTAATCACACTTTAGAAAAAGTCTCATTTTGCATTAGTTAAAAATGGCTATTTCACATTTCCAGTTTTTTTATATTGAGAGCAAAAGAAGGAAGAACCTTATTGAAGATCAAAATGCATTGTTGTATTAGGATGAAGCATGAAGCATACTAAAGAACTTTTACAAATTAATGTTTCATAGGAGAATGTCAAAAAAGGCAAAAAAAAGAAGGCGGAGGGGCTTGTCATCGTCAAGTGAAGAAGATGAGAAGGTAAGAAGGAATTCAACAGCCAATATGAAAAAAATCCTCTTATTACATTTCACAATATCATATAATTTGTAAAAATCATAATTTGGCTATTCCATCAAAAACATTCTGGGATTATTGAAAATAATAAGACAATTACCTAAATTGTAGCAGATTATTTTTGTTTTACCCATAACAAGCCATTTCCATATTTTAACAATATGTTTTCTGTGTTTTTAAGGAATCCAAGAAACAAGATCTTACCAAGAATAACAAAAGTAGCAGGGGGAAGCCAGATTTAAAAAATCAGGAGAGGTATGATTCAGAATTTTTTATTTTTAACAACATATTACTATTGATATTATGTAGCCTATTAAACACACGGTTCACTTGAATGAAATATGTGTTAATTATGTGTGACATTTATTCTGTTCTTCTACATCAAGATTTGAAACAAAACCGGAAAAAAGTGCATTTCCTTCCGTTAAAGATGTTCCCCAAAGTACTCGCCAGATTAAAAAGCCTGTCTACAGGCTGGCAAAAGCACAAGAAAAAGACCAGGAATCTGTTAAAAAAGAAGAAAGAACAAAACAAAAACATGCCTCTCCACCAGACCTTGGGGGAAAAATCTCTAGTAAAGCAAAAAATGACATTTCACGGAAAGATAAAACTGTCAGTGGGAGTAAGACTGAGGAAGCAGGACCCTCAAAACACTTGCACACTTCAGGTGCAGTTCCTCAGGGGACAGAGAAGACATCTAAAGGTAGCTTGGATGAGAAGTCTTCCCAGGGGACCCCATCCAAATTAAAAAAGCACCTAATGAGTCCCAGTTTGGTTTGTGCTGAACAGAACAAACAGGGGAAGAAGGAACTGAAGAAGTGCAGAGCCAAGGAACCACCGAGGACTGAAAATGACAGCAAACCTGTCAAGACCAAGGAACCAAGCAATAATTCCTCCGTATCCAAGGATTCTGCATGGGAGCAGAAGAGTGACGTCTTCAAGAAGATGTGCCAAAGGCATGAAGAAAACAAGGCCAAAAAGAGCATGTGGATAGAAGTTAAAACTCCCTCTGCCTCTACAACAACAAAGTCCTCCACTTCAGCCAAGCCCACTACCTCTACCTCTGTTAGTAGCTCAAAGGTGGTGAAAAAAGTCACATTGGGGTCACAAAAGCCATCATCTTCTCAGGAACAAGTATATGCAGCCCCACCATTTGTGCCTTTTAAATTTAAGATACCAAAAAAAGTTAAACCAACTCCAGTAGAAAGCACTGTTGAAAAGAAAGAAGCAAAAACTACAAAGAAAGGTCTTGAACCTGTGCCTGAGCTTCCAGAAACTGCAGCATCAAGCAGCAAATCTGAGGAGAAAACTGTTCAGCAAGCTCCCGTCCCTCCAGATGTTACACCTAGTGTTTCATCTGAAGGACAAGATGAAGGCCCACCTTTGGCAGAACAACTTCCAAATACGTTTCATACTGTCCCAGTGCCGTGGTATGACCAGGTAATAAGGAGGTTTTTTTCCCGTACTACCTTTGTTTCATTCCGTCAGCTAGTTTATTGTAATACCATCAGTGTGTTGTTATTACAATGGATTCAAAATGGCAGATAGAATGTTAGTTGTTTTGTTTATTTTTAAAAATGTGTTTTTCTGTAGATGCAAGTGGTCGAAGAGCTTCATCTTGCTCGCTCTCAGAAGAGATTGGAGGTGAATGTAATGCAAAGCTATGGGGATCTCACCTGTATGGACATAGACCCTCCAGAAGAGGGAGGTGCAGACACACACTGTGAGTTGTATTGATTAATAAGAAAATTCAAAAAAATGTGTACATATATTTTGCAATCATTTTAGGATTATAGAGTAACTGCACAGAATATGGATCAGAATATAACATCACAAAGTCTTCACAACATTTATGTTCCTTCAAAATAAATACATAACTTCACAGTCGCTACACTTTTGCTCAAATTGTTTTGGTATGATTTTCTGAACTTTTGAACATGTCACTATTCATGAAATGTCATTTCCTTTTTGCAGGTAAACAACCTAACCAGCAATACCTCATCCTCGTCTTGGACACCAACATTCTCCTCAGTCACCTGGATTATATCAAAAAGATCAGAATGAACGGCCTTGGAGGTGTTTATAATTGTTTTAATACTGGATGTTTCTTATAGAATAATTGATATATTTCATATGCTTTATATAATGATATAACATGCTATTATTAAAGTTATCGAGTTAGATTTCACTTACAAGTTTCCAGTTGTAAGCTAAAGATATTCCTCACCAGACGTTGAACTATTATCAAGCATCCTAACAAGATGTCCCAAAGCAAAATATGTTTGCATCTTCTATAGAAAGAACCAATACATTCTCAGTCCTCAACCTTCTACTTACATATCATCATTTTAAATAATAATGTCATTTGTTAGGGTTAATGAAGATCACAGCACATAAATTGTGTTTTTCCACTGTGTATTAATACAGAACACAGTTTCCAAGAACGTATGAAGTCCCATTTCCATTTGATTTGAGCTTGCTTCTGTTCATAATGAAATGCACATTTGTTATGACATTTGATTAATCACTGGTTCCCTTTTCTCCCCTTCATGCTCTCTTAGACCTGGGCTTCCCGATAGTCCTGATCCCCTGGGTGGTGCTTCAGGAGCTGGACTCCCTCAAACGGGGGAGGGGCCTGTCAGGGTCTGTGGCCCACCTCGCTACTCCTGCCATCTCGTACATTTACAACTGCTTGAAGAGCCGGGCACCTTTCCTGTGGGGGCAGTCTATGCAGCAGGCCAGCGAGAGCAACAGTGAGTGCTGATTTAAGGAAGATATGGGAATTATCAGTGCATTGAAAGTGGAATGAATGTACAAGTAGGTAGGGCTGCTCAATTAATCGTATTTTAATCGCGATTACGATTATGGCTTGCAACGATTACGAAAACAACGTAATCGAAATAAAGTGATTATTTTTTTATTATTATTATTATTACCAATAAATGGATGTTTTCAAAGTCAATGAATAATCGCAATTACAATTATTGACCCAAATAATTGAGATTATGATTTTTGCCATAATCGAGCAGCCCTACAAGTAGGGACTGTACAAGGTCAGTGAAACCTCCATCACCTGTTCATGAGCTAATTTCAGATTTATTATGAGTACTTTTGGATTTTATCTTAGAAAAAGCAGGCTAATATAAATGCCAGCATTAGTTACAAAATAATCATAACAGTGAGTGCAGGCAAAACAAAAGCACTTGAGTAAGAGCAGCACATTAGAATAATCTACAACTCCTTGTAGACTGTAAACATTTCTAAATAAACAAGTTCTGTTAGCGCCTGGTCGTTGATTTTTAATTAATTCATTGAGAAAACCAAAATCAATAAAATGCATTATTTTGTAGTTTTTGTTATCAATGATTTTAATGACTTTTGACTGAACATATGGTCTTCATTTATAGCAATTCTCCACCTTAACGGTACATTATTAATTTACACACACAGCCGCAGAGCTGCCCTGCGTCCCGTCTACCACTAGGTAGCACTATCACGTAGCTTGTCCTCCAGAATTATTCATACGCTGTGAGATATATATACAGTCTATGGCTGTGAGCATCTCAAGGGCAGGTTTCACCCATGCATGAGGTCACCCACTTCTCAGCTGTATATATTATTGATCAGACATACATTTTTCAACGGTGGGATGAAATTCTCTTCGAAAAGGCATGGGATAAAGGAGATTTACAAGAGATATTGTTGACTATTGCTAAGAATTTAGGAGCTTATAAGCATTTAGTGCCTCTCTTGAAATGCACCTTAAATCTCCATCTTGTGTTCTTCATCTTTGAATCTTCCTCCTTGTCTTTATTTGAAAGAATACTCTTGTACATTGCTTTCAGTGTTATGAATTAAACAATTCTCCCGTTAAAGACTGTCAGGTTTCTCTCTGTCTTCCTCTTCCTCTCTTCTTATTGTACCTCCTTGTCCCCAGATGGTCTGAATGCCGAGAATAATGATGATCGGGTGCTGCAGTGCTGCCTGCAATACCAGAGTCTGTACCCAGAGTGTGCTCACATCCTATGCACGTGAGTTCCCCCTCCCCCCGCCCTATACTGCTGCTGCTGCAGAGTCTCTGTCCTCTGCAATAATGCACATGCATGTGACTGAGAGTGGGTCCAGCCAGATAGTTCCAGTTGGGATGAAAGAAAGAGAGGGGCAGACAGAATAATTGGTGAATGATACATTTGCACATTGTATTGTTTCACCTTCTTTTTCCATCTGACCTATTTCTCTGAATGCCAATATTTAAAGACACAACATTAATAGAGAAAGGGGGCAGGCATTCAATTAGGCTGCTGTAAAATAGATGTGATTTAATGGTCTTATTGATGTTATTTGTGATAACACTGCCATATAGACTTTCCTGGTAAAAAAACATGTTTCCCCCTTTTTCCTCTAGGAATGATAAGAACCTGTGCAGTAAGGCCCTCCTGAGTGGAGTGAAGGCCTTGTGCAAGATTGATCTGGAGGCAGAGGTTGGGACATCCAAACATGGCTTTCACCCTCCGCAAAATGTCGGCCCTCAGGTCCCATCAGCAATGCAAAACAGGATCTACGCACCAGTCCAGCCACCCATGCAAAGGACAGGACTCCATACTGTAGAGGAGAACGGTGAGCCAGGGATGAATGTGCGCTTCTTGCAGAACAGGAATTACTTGCCATATTCTGTAATGTCATAATAGTTCAAGCAAAACATCCATACATTCACTTGCTATGTCTTACCACTTTTTTCCATGCTTTGTTTGCCTCCATTCAGGCGACATATATTTAACAAACAAGTAATTAAATTAAATAAAGAGTGAAATCCTCACCATCACAGTCAATGTATAGTTAGCATGTGCTCCTGTTCTTTGCTGCTGTACATACATGTATAATCTTGCTCAAGAATAACTGCTGTCCTGCATTATGTTTTTATATCATACATTTTCTCATATACAAACGTTATGTGTGCAATTGATAACAGATAACAAGCGAGGGGATGAGAGGCCAGTGTGGGACCCCAGCAGTGTTTCTGAACTAGAACAGTGTCTGCTCGACGTGCTGTCAGATGTGTTGGAGGTGGAGATGAAGGCCGCTTTCGAAGACATTTGGCTAGATGTAAGATTGCACTTAGAATTTCACTTGATCTTTTTAGCTTATATTGTAATTAACGTGCATTTAAAACATCAACATGTTATCTGAGGAGATCAAACATGTGTTTTTGGTTTAATCTTCGCATGACTTGGTCATTAGATTTATGTGTTTTTGGAGGAAAATTATGAATCATATCTCCTCCTTGTGCTATATACGTGTCTGGATGTCATTTTGAACAATGCAATATTTTGTATTTTTTCATGTAGATCATGTTTATTGTGTTTTTTTTTTTTTTATTGTTTCACAGATAGTTTACATAAAACCTCCATGGACTCTTCTAGATGTTCTGAAATGTTTTAAAAAGCACTGGATTGCCGTCTTTGGGAACATTGTCCCACGGAGGAAACAGCAAACTGTTTCAACCCTCATCACCTTTTTCAATTCAGGTATGTAGGTAGAAGAAAGGGAGCAACTACATGTATTTCAGTTTTTCTCAACAGTATTTATAAAAACACATACAGTTGCAAGAAAAAGTACGTGAACCCTTTGGAATTACCTGGATTTCTGCATAAGTTGGTCATAAAATGTGTTCTGATCTTCATCTAAGTCACAACAATAGACAAACACAGTCTGCTTAAACTAATACCACACAAACAATTATATGTTTTCATGTTTGTATTGAACACACCATGTAAACATTCACAGTGCAGGGTGGAAAAAGTATGTGAACCCCGAGGCTAAAGACTTCTTCAAGAGCTAATTGGAGTCAGGAGTCAGCCAACCTGGAGTCCAATCAATGAGACGAGATTGGAGGTGTTGGTTAAAGCTGCCCTATAAAAAATACACACCAGTTTTGAATTTGCTATTCTTAAGAAGCATTGCCAGATGTGAACCATGCCTCGCACAAAAGAGCTCTCACAAGACCTACGATTAAGAATTGTTGACTTGCATAAAGCTGGAAAGGGTTACAAAAGTATCTCTAAAAGCCACGGTAAGACACATTGTCTATAAATGGAGAAAGTTCAGCACTGTTGCTACTCTCCATAGGAGTGGCCGTCCTGTAAAGATGACTGCAAGAGCACAGCGCAGAATGCTCAATGAGGTGAAGAAGAATCCTAGAGTCAGCTAGAGACTTAAAGAAATCTCTGGCACATGCTAACATCTCTGTTGACGAATCTACGATACGTAAAACACTGAACAAGAATGGAGTTCATGGGAGGACACCACGGAGGAAGCCACTGCTGTCCAGAAAAAACATTGCTGCACGTTTGAAGTTTGCAAAAGAGCACCTGGATGTTCCAGTAGTGCATTCTGTGGACAGATGAAACCAAAGTTGAGTTGTTTGGAAGGAACACACAACGCTATGTGTGGAGAATCCAAAGGGTTCACATACTTTTTCTTGCAACTGTATATATATTTTTTTTAATACATTTTACCCCAATTAAATATCATCATTATTTTGTTTTTTGTTTGGAATCTCTGAATCTCTTAATTGAGAAATGAAACTAAAATACAAATAAAAATGAATATATTACTCAGTTTAGGAATGAGCATATAACCTGATCTGATAAATCAATCCAGTTTTAGAATTTGACCTTATTTTTAGGTGTTTTGCCACAAACTGTGATTTAAAATATGGCTTACATAATGCTGAGTCACTCATCTCAAAATCTGTTAAAACAAATGTATTATGCATTTTTCTCTGTTGCTAGTAAAAGGAGAGCTTGACAACGCCATACAATGTAGCTGAAAACATCCTAGGACCTGATTTTAATCTTCATTTAGAGGTTTGCAATGGATTTCTGGAAAAATAAAAATAACTTACAGTATTATGTAAGACACAAGAGCACAAACGTTCACATCTGCTGAAGCAACAAGGCAAAGCTCCCAGTGGTCTCTAAATGCAAAGATACCTCACTGTGTTAATGCACTGTGACAGTTTTGAGACTGTAAGCGTAGCCTTTTTTTTGGTCTTCTCTGGACAGTGAGTTTAAATACTGAGTCATCCCCCAGATAAAACGCTTACTCCACTGTTGTATGATGTGGTGTGCCCTGCACTGCGCTACAGCCCTACAGAACTACATGCAGAATCAGGTCATCGGCTAAAACAGGACACTCAAATGTGTGTCAAAAGGATGCTGAGCTGTCCACTGCAGCCCTGCTGTGTCTGGATCTCATTACTGGATCTAATAACATCACATGTAATCGCGTGTGTGTGTGTGTTTGTGTAGTTGTGTGTCTAAATCTCCCCGTCCACCTGTTTGAGTTTGAACTGTGGCCCAATTATTTTTGAAGGCTTCCGAGAATGTTTTTATGGAAAACAATAGAGTTTTGCCCTTGCTCTCTGTATCCCTGGTACGCTGGGATACAGGAGGAGGAGGAGGAGGAGGGAGAGAGGGGTAAACCGTATGTGAGGCTAAGAACGAATCTCAGTGGAAAAGTACTGCATGTGATTTTGTTTTGTTTTTGCTGTTCTCCCTTGAGCAGACTGTTAGTGTGTTTGTAGTCAGTCTTAAAGGTCCCCTATTATACTGTTTTTCCTCAATATGTCTCAGATATATTCAAAACATGTCTCTGAAGTGTTTGGCTCCAAATACCAAACAGATCATTGCAGCATTACCCATAATCCCCTCTGTTTCAGCCCTGTTTCAAAAGTGCTGACTCTGTCTGTTACTTTAGATGAAAATAAGGAGCCCCTCCCCCTCCTTTTTTCCTGAAACTTTCAGAATCTCTTTACACAGTAAATGTTTATGTTTATGTATAGAAGACATGAAAAAGTAGATTTTGCATAATAGGTGACCTTTAACACATATTTTACAACCGCCTAAAAAGGGACAAAGCTTCATGGGTAGTTTTAAATTAGCTCAAAGGTATGTTAGGTCGGGGCTAGAGACCGGTGTCACCTATCATAGGGTCCAGTAGATTAAAATGACGCAGCCTGATTCCTCTACAAAGTAATGGGTTGGAAAATCATTTAACATAAGTTGTGCACTACTTTAGAAATGTTCAACCAACTTCTGGCTCTCAAATATTCAGGAAAAGCAAAGTCTCATAGCATTTTGGATCACAGTTGGACAAACACACATGCTCACAGTAACCTTGACTTATAATAGAACATTCACAATTTCGTAGATCATTAATCATGAAGATTAGACATTCTTCATGCAGAAATTGCATAACATTTTCTGTTGACAAAGCAAAACATTTAAAGACATCACCTTGATTTAGAGAAACTGGAATGGAACATTTTCTACTATTTTATGACGTTTTTTAGAGCACACAATTAATCTAGGAACTAATCAGCACATTAATCAATAATAAAATCAATCAATAGTTGCAGCCCCGTTCTGTTTTTGTCCACAATGTTTCTTTGCCTGGCTCTTTTGTTTCCCACACACAGACACACAAAACCTACTTGCCCCTTTTGCCTAGGTGTACCTGTAGAAAAACGGCAACTGAATGCAAGTGTCCCTTTATTTGATGTGCTCATATCTTCCTGTCCTGTGTCTGCTCAGGTGGCACATCACACTGTAGAGATGCATCAGCACTCCTCCGAGATGCTAAGGATCTTGTGAAAGCATTTGGGAAAAGGTCAAGACGCGTTTCCGCTGCCATCTCCAGAATGGACAACATTTTCAATAAGCGACAACCACAGGTAAACTAGGAGCTAATTTGGAGTTTAAATGGTCCTAATGCAATCACAGCTCAAACATATTCCACTTGTTATCTGTCCAAAGGGTGGGCCACTCGTCTGCAATCTCTGAATTGTGTTTGGTGTTTTGGAAAGCACAGAAATACAAAAAATATATGATACTGTGTTTTGTGTTTATACCATAGGTTTATACCTTATAGCATAAATATATTGTATATCATACACAGGTTTTTACACACTGTTGGATTTTATAGCTTTATCATCTTTGTCTGTGTGTGCAGTGGGAATCTCCTGCCATCGATGTTGTCATGAATGAAGATGATGAGTATCATGATGATGAAGAAGAAGGGGAACAACCCACGCCTGCTCCTTTCTCGCACCAGGAAGTGTGGGTCCTGTTTGAACACCTCTGGTCTTATGTGTTTCAGATGAGGTGGGTGTAACAGGGATTAGGGATGCTTATACTGCAGAGAACATTTGAGGATTATTTAATTTCACAGATGTTCTTCCACAAAATGCCTTCATTTCGTTTAAGCAGCAAACACTTCATGTTTGTTTTGATAAAGCTATTGTTTTTTTATTCCATTTGACTAACCCCTGAGGTCATTTTATTCTGTCATGTTTCAGCTGGGAAGTGTTCAAAGCTCTGGGCTTTGACCCTAACTCCATTCAGAGCACTCAGCCGGGGGGGGGTCCTGCGCCACCACAGGACGTCGTGGACTGTCTGCACAATCTGTGCTGCATAGTCTCGCAGCTGCTCCAGATCTTCAGCAGGTATCTCAGCCCACTGTTTTGTTTCATTCTCAATACTCTTTCAGCGTAGTTTCCAGTCAGTAGTGATTGTTGGTCTAAAAAGCTCGTAACACTGCACACCATTTTCCCAGTGAGTTAGCAAATGGCTGGTGAACATAGCAATAAGCCACCAAACAACACAAATTCCCTTTCATTCAACCATTGACCAGAAACTCTTAATAAACAATACTGTTACTGAAGGTGAAAATAGTAACAATTTGTCTCAAGTTCACCATATTCATTCAGAAAGCGATGATATAATTCCTTACATTTATTATAGCGCTTTTTCAATGACTCAAAGCGCTTTACATATACACACATTACACATATATCATACATGCAATGGTCAGATACTGTGGACAATACCCACAGGAGCAAGTTCAGGTGAAGTGTCTTGCCCAAGGACACACCGGCTTTACAGACGCAGAAGCGGCGGGTTTCACCCCTTGATCTGATGATCATTGCACAGCGCCACACCGTCCATCTTCACGCCTCGAGGCGCTTTTACAAGTACACATTGGTATTATACATGTACTGTGGACAATACCCACAGGAGCAAATCCGGGTGAAGTGTCTTGCCCAAGGACACAATGGCCTGACGCAGTGGCGGCAGGAGGGGGTTTCGAACTGGAGTTCCCCAGCACTCCCCCTTGATCGGATGCACAGACCACTGCGCCACCCGTCCCGACAAATGTCCCGATATGTCAGTGACCCTCCATTACTATTATATCATTCTGTTTTCATCGTCCCCACTCTTGTCCACCTTGTCTAAACCCTTTGGCTTAACCTGGTGTGTCTCACCTTTGTCTCGACAGCAAGTCCCTCTTGGCGCATTTCCACTACAGGGCCTCGCTCGGTATGGCTAGGCCTCGTTAGGCCTTTTCAGGACTGGCTCACTTTGTGCTGCGTTTCCATTACAGTTTAGTAGCTGGGGCAGTAACTATAGTAACGCAGTGTAGGCGGAGCCGTGACGTCATCTTCAATGCGAAACACAAAACCAACATCAGCCGTTAGCCCTTAGCACTGAGAGCTCACAGCTCCTCATACACTGAACAAAAATATAAATGCAACACTTTTGTTTTTGCTCCCATTTTTCATGAGATGAACTCAAAGATCTAAAACATTTTCTATATACACAAAATAACCATTTTGGGGGGGCGCCAGCTAAAATCTTGCCTAGGGCGGCAAATTGGTCAGGGCCGGCCCTACGTTCACTTATTGGTTGTTGGACATTGTGATATTATTAAAAGCAATGTAGAGGAGCTACAGCTATATTTCAACACGTATATCCACTAAGATTAATACATGAAGACTTGTGACTCGGACTTGACTTGGACTCTTCTTGGGTGACTCGGACTTGGACTCGGACTCGAACACAGGTAATGGTGACTCGGACTCGACTCGGACACTCCTTGGGTGACTCGGACTTGGACTCGGACTCGACTACGACTCTCCCTAGGTGACTCGGACTTGGACTCGAAGAGTGGGGACTCGAGAGTGACTTGGACTCGTGAATTGGTGACTTGACTACAACACTGCCTGAGGCCCATTGTTGTGCCATTCATCCACGACCATCACCTCATGTTGCAGCAGGATAATGCACAGCCCTATGTTGCAAGGATCTGTACACAATTCCTGGAGGCTGAAAACATCCCAGTTCTTGCATGGCCAGCATACTCACCGGACATGTCACCCATTGAGCATGTTTGGGATGCTCTGGATCGGCGTATACGACAGCGTGTTCCAGTTCCTGCCAATATCCAGCAACTTCGCACAGCCATTGATATTTATTGATAAAGCGCTATAATAAATGTAAGGAATTATTATTATTATTATTATTAAATTATTATTATTGAAGAGGAGTGGACCAACATTCCACAGGCCACAATCAACAACCTGATCAACTCTATGCGAAGGAGATGTGTTGCACTGCGTGAGGCAAATGGTGGTCACACCAGATACTGACTGGTTTTCGGACCCCCCCAGACCCCCCCAATAAAGGAAAACTGCAAGTTTCAGAGTGGCCTTTTATTGTGGCCATTCTAAGGCACACCTGTGCAATAATCATGCTGTCTAATCAGCATCTTGATATGCCACACCTGTGAGGTGGGATGGATTATCTCGGCAAAGGAGAAGTGCTCACTATCACAGATTTTTCAGATTTGTGAACAATATTTGAGAGAAATGGTTATTTTGTGTATATAGAAAATGTTTTAGATCTTTGAGTTCATCTCATGAAAAATGGGAGCAAAAACAAAAGTGTTGCATTTATATTTTTGTTCAGTGTATCTGTTCAGAAACTAGACCAAAGTTAAACAAGTACAAACCACAGACTGTCTGTGTCATGGCGAATACAGTCGCTGGTTTATTTATGTCTGTTTAGGCCGTTGTTGTGAGTGTGGACGGTCGGAGCATACACTGCGTTAGCTTAGCCGATCTCCATTTAGACAACACGCATTTAAAAAGGTTTTTCTCCTGCCATCTTGTCTGCAGACTTGTCAAAGCATTAATCCATGGTTTTTACTAACCGGTATCAGTATGTTGTTACTTCGGCATCATTTAGAAACGTGTATTACAATTTAATCACGGTCAAATATGTTAATATTGTTGTAGTTGTAGACCCCCTTGACAACGATTCTATCTCTCGTTTAGAATACTCACAACTCCGTGTGTGTGTGTGTGTGTGTGTGTGTGTGGTGTGTGTGTGTGTGTGTGTGTGTGTGTGTGTGTGTGTGTGTGTGTGTGTGTGTGTGTGTGTGTGTGTGTGGTGTGTGTGTGTGTGTGTGTGTGTGTGTGTGTGTGTGTGTGTGTGTGTGTGTGTGTGTGTGTGTGTGTGTGTGTGTGTGTGTGTGTGTGTGTGTGTGTGTGTGTGTGTGTGTGTGTGTGTGTGTGTGTGTGTGTGTGTGTGTGTGTGTGTGTGTGTGTGTGTGTGTGTGTGTGTGTGTGTGTGTTAATCTGCTTGACCTTGTAGCTTTGCCTTCTCACCTTTCCTGTGACGTTAAAGACGGCTCTACCCTGTTAAGTTTCTCGCCATGCCTTCAAGAAGAAAAATGGTCACAATAATCAATATCATCAATCATCATAACTATCATCTGTTGTGTGCAGTCAACCTGTTTTCCCAGTTGGTGATGATTTGCACTGTCATTACCACAGAACTCTTCATATTGACGCAACTTCTTTAGAAAGCTAACTAGACGAAGAACATTTCGTAACCTAGGTATTTACAATGTATGTGTCCTGTTCCTTTGTTTTCACTCTAACACACACGCACAAAATAACCCGACATCACACGATTACAGAGGCCAGTGAGGTGTCAGTATATTATTTATTTCTTTGCTGGGATTCACCGTGACATTTGGATCTCTTTGAGGGGAAGGCTACACACTCCTCACATCAAAAGGGCAACATGCCTGTTGTTCCCTCTGTTTCATTCAACCTCAAACTCTGTAGGTCTAGAAAAACCAGTATACCTTGAAATAACCAGTATATCAAATGTTGTTTTGATTAGTTGCCATCTTACTGAAAAACTGCAATGGAGTTTCACATGTTTAGTTTAAGCAAGACTTTGCAGAACCTAAACAACCAACTATAAATAGCCATACAAATTGTAACAACAAGGCAAAGGTGATTTGCAGGTCTCCCTTGAAAAAGAGATCATTGATCTCAATGGGATTTTACCTGGATAAATAAAGGTATTGAATTGAATTGATTTGATATTGTTATCTATGGGGATGGGAGAAGGAAATACAAATGATGCAATGTTTTCTCAGCTGAGTATAGCTATACGACAGCCCTCTCAGATCATAACCCATTAAACACCTAAGTATGTGTCCAAAGTGCACTTTATTACCACTTAAACCCTCCAGGCCTCTGAAGATCCACTGGTTATTGTGATTGGCAGTATATGAAAACAGTAGTGGTACTTCATTACCAGATGTTGTCTCATACCTGGAATTGATACACTATGTTTTGAATTTATGGCAGGTAGGCTACTTAGTATATGTGTTAGGCCTGGTGTCAAAAGATGTTTATCTATCATTTCCTGTAGATGATGTCACAGCTGTAGCTTCCAAAGAAGGTCTTTTTTAGCTTTAGCTTTTCTCTCAAATTGTGGGTTTTAATAATTGTTGTTTGGGGTCAAATACTGTAGTTCAACCTGAAAGTTGTTTATTTATTTGTAAATGGACTGGGTCGATGTGAAGCAGATATGGTTATTCATATATGAATAAATACTACACAGGTCAATTTGATTCACATGTTCTTCTGCGGGAATATATATTAATTTCGGTGTTGTTGGTTACAATAGAGCATGAATAATGAATATAAAACACAAAAACATTACGCCTACCCAATGCACACTCATTAAAAATAGCAGTACTGTCATATTTCTTGAAATAACGGAATGTTTTGGAATAAGCTTTCAAGTAAAACGCTCATTGGGTCTTTATCTGCACATGCATGTGTGTGAATGTGTGTTGGGCTTTTCAAGCACAGTTGCCTAGGAGACGGCCGGACTCATTTTCACGTGTTTGAGCAGAGCTGTGACTAATTTTTTACAGGCAATCTCTGGTTGTCTCCGCCTCACTCATTTCTCTCATTCTGTTGACACCAGATATATATATATATATATATAATGTATGTCTCTGCTCAAAGGATCATTCTCTAGTCTTCATATCCCTTCATTTACTACCATTACTTGGTCTCTTTTTCTCTATTACTTTTTTAATATATTAGCAAAGTGGTGTGTTTTTGTGTGTGAGCATTTCGATGAGTTGCAATGGTGAAGGATGGATGAGAAAACTGCTGTGTATTCATTTTGTTACCTGCTCTCAATGTGTTCAGACTATATGTGTGCCAAAATATGATATATAAATGTAAAAAGACCATCATGTACACAGTATAAATGCTTTATGACTGTCTTGACTTAAACACTTTCTTAAGAAATGGTTAAATCTGGAGGAAAGGGTAGCAGAAGACATTTAAAAAAACCACATGATATCTTTAAAGGCATTTAAAAAACAAATGGTTTGATTAGTTCAGATTAACTGAATCAGAATTTCTGATAAAGTGCTGCACCAATGTTATGAATAGAGGGTTTTTTTTTCAGACATGGAAGAAAGGTCCTCTTTAAAGTGTGTGTTTCTGTTTTTCTCCAGTGTCCTGTCATCAGCCCCGCGGTTAGAGGAAGTCCAGACGCTGCTCAGCATCCTTCACTCTAATAAGGTTGGTGACATTTCACAGTTATTGGCATGTAATCAGATCGGTGCCATTAATTAAACTCATTTGACCTTTCTCTGCAGCAGCAATGCTCTTTGTCATGTTGAACTGTTCATATTTAGATGTGCCTACATGCATTGTGTTTCAGATTGTTAACTTGGACTCCAGATTGACAGCCAAAGACTTCCTGGACTGTCTCGTACAACAAGACAACAGGTAGCGCACACACACGCATTCTCACTTATTATTGTTATTTTTTCTGATACATAAGGTCTTTCAAATCTTTCACAGATACAACATATGTTTTGGATGATAAGCGTATTAAACTAATGAAAAAGATGCTATACCGCCGTGATGTGACATGTGCGAATAATGTAGCAACAACTTTCTTTAATTGCATAATCAAACAATCTCAAGTTCCCTGAGTATGTCTTTGTTGAAGCATGACCGGGCATGTCGGTGTGTCTCATATCCCCAGCAGAGCTCTCACAAAAACAGTTGCCATGTTAACAATTCAAAACAATTGTGACACTGGTTATAAACAAAGATATGTGTACTTGTGTAGTTGAACAGTGTAAAGGGACTGGTGTAGTTGCCTGGATCACAAATTATTTGTATTAGTTATTAGAATAGAATCCTGAATTAACGTTTCCTTTTCAAGGGACAGTGTAAACTAGAATGAAATGTTAAGTAACCAGTAGACTTCATTTAAACTGTTGAGATTAAACAGTATTTGGACTGCTCCTGAATGGACTCTCATAAGACTCTCATTAAGTATTGATATATTATATATATATTATACCGAGCATATACAGGATCACAGCTGGAGTTTGTTATGTATCATCTGTGGCCTACATTTTATTATGTTTATGTAATTATTTATAAGTTTTGGAGTGAGGTATCTGTATGCAGCTTGAGATAAAGAAGCAATGCCGGAATTTAGGACTCCAGACTGACCTCTGCACTTTCTTTTACTCGCTCCTGTCACACAGACTTGTCTTTAACGCTTTCTCTAAGATTATTATTAGCGCTGTCTAAATAGAACAAATATATAACCATACAAATACACAGTTAACCTACTTATCCTGCTTATTCTTGCCAGCTTTTTTCTGCTTGTTGCTCGTAATATGACATGATTTAACATGCATGCATACTTTGCTTCAGTCGATGTTTCATATTACATTTAATAATAATATTTTAATAATCTCAATAGTTATGATGTCATTGTATTTGACTCTAAATGTTAATATCTCGGTTAAATGACACACATGTTTTGAGACTTTATAGTCCTAACAAACAAGCAATTATTCAAAACAAATGGCCAGATTAATTAATAATAGAAAAGTTAGTTTCAACTCTAAATACATTGTGTTAAGAAGCTACATAAAAATTCAGTAACAAAATTCCCGCGTACATTAATCAGTATATCACGCCACTCCAGGTCCCTCATGACATGCATCTGAATTGTTAATGCTTATATGAACTCAGCTGCTTCCATGGAAACAGGGACCAGTTCCATGTTATCAACAGATTATCTGTTTCCGGCCATGATGTGTCATCTCTTAATACCGCCGTCTCACTGTCAGAAGCTGTTCCTCATGATTTCATAACCCCTATACTATAAATACTTAACATACATAACTATGGGTCACTTGAAAGAGATAACTCTGAATTAGCACTTGGTTGTTGTCTTGATAATGCTTATGGTATTAACATAACAAACAATGATCATAGGATAACTAAAAGTATATTTGACTACATTTAAAGATGAACTTTCTGGCGTAGAATAGTGGTATGATAAAAATGAAGGTGTATTCAGTATTAAAGACAACATCTGCTGTGTCACTTGGTGGAAGAGCTTTGCAGGTGCTCTCCGGTCACGTCATACAGCTTTTGTAACAACAGGTCACCGCTGACAGATACAGTTAAGCTGGATGTGTTGTGATTGTAAATATTTGATTTGGTACACTCACTGTGAAGTGATGTAGACCTTTACTTAGTGAACGCATTATCTGGGGTGTTAAATATTTGATTGTGATGCTCAGTGCGTGGTTTGATGTCATCCGTTATATAAAGCCTGAGGGAGGCCAGGAGCACGCTGACTGCAGGCAGCTCTCAGAACAAGTGGGCCTCAAACGCACACAATAATGTAATAATAATGTCTGATTAAAAAGAAATCTTCTGTGTTTCCTCTGTTGGCTTTAAAAAAAGAATCAAAAAGTAATCACGATAGATACTTAAAAAAACGACTAGCATAAAAACACCACCCGTTCAGTAATTGTTAAAGAACATAGACACTTCTCACATTCTTGATGAAAGTCTGACTGAAAATGAACTGGGAATGGATACTTATATTTATGTGCATGTTCCTTGCAATTCTTGAGCAATAGACATATTTATTTGCAACACAGTTAAGCCAGACATGCATGAACTTGTGTGTTTACATACGCCCTTTTCCAAGTGCCATCTCAATATTACAGATGTTATAGAGCAGGTGGGAATGCTAGATACCTAAGGTCCAGTACATATTTTATTATATGTAGCTTAAACCTCCTTTTACCTGTTGGTGGTGTTTCTGTTATGCTGCTTTGATACACATGGGTTCTTTTCATACGTGGATGTGTCATCAGGGCCACTTTTATAATGGTTTACGTTGTATGTGTTTGAAGGCCAGTTTGCGTGTTACCATCAGTCAAATCACAACCTTCACTACCTTTACCTTATCCGTTATGATCATTATCTTGTGTCAAAATATTAGTTATAAAACAGACAAGTCAAATCAAGCAATCTGATTGGTTCTTAGCCGTGATATAATGAGCGTATATCCAAGTAGAATTGTAGTTACTTTTCACAAGTCATGTATCCCTCCGCGTCTGAGAAAAAGCTACAACCGTTACATTACGTCCGTTACAAAACTAACTAACAAAGCTTAAGATGAAAACATTTAATGTTAACTTCGACCTCCGGGGTGGCCTTACTATGGAGGAGTGGATTGAGGAGTGCCTATCTCCAGAAAAAAAAGCACCTAAACGACGACATGCAGAGCTACGTGAAGAGCAGGTAGACCAACTGGAAAAGTACCACCATTCAAAAGCTTTCTGATGCGGGTCTTGAAACAAAGCAGAGAAATTATGAAAGCTCTCTCCAGAGCTACTGGAAGCCGAATCTCGGGGACCGGAGAAAGTGGAGCAATATTCTCACCACACCAAGCAACAGCCTATTACAACCTCAACCTATACAAGTAACCACGTAAGCCATTCTACTGATGCTGGACAGTTTTTCAGTGGCTGCACAATAAACGGCAACATACAAATGAATATAAATAAATAGCCAAATAATCCATCAACGCTCTATCTAATTAGAAGGCAACGGAGGGACTATTTTATTTTGAACATAATTATTTACTAATAAAAAGTATTTAAATTAGAGTGTGTATTTTCTTTCATATTGCCACACTTGGTAACCGTTTTATAAAAGCAATAGCTCACTTCAGGCCTTTAATTATATGTTACTCTGTGAAAAAGACACCAGCGCTTTTCCCTTTCTAGCTCCGAGCTAGAGCTTTTCTGGTTCAGCTCCGGTTTCCCTTTTCTGCTCCCGCTCTGTTCACACCGCCCAGCACCCGACTGGTGCTGCCGCTGCTGCGTCATGACGTCACCGTTTACATCGCTGATTTGCTCCCCAACGGCATTACGGCGCTCACAACAACAACGGGGAACTGCGTCGGGTCGATGATCGTGTTGCTTTTAATCACACGAAGCCAGAATAAATTGAATAACGACTTCTCCAACCTTATGCTTTTCGCCGTGGTTCATTGTTTATTAATGTGTTTCTGCAGCATTTACCGACCGCTGCAGTGTTGGCTGCTCTTCCACGGGAGTTTATTCTCCTCCGTTAGCTCCCGGTTAGCTCACACTGCAGCGGCCGCTCTAAAGTATTCACTGTCCGACTCACACAAGCAGCTGATACATATCCCCAGTTCCCCTTAGCCTAAGTGAATGTGTGTCAGTCTGAATTGACGCTGTTTGGCATCACAACGCTGTTATGAAAGTTCATCTGGTATAAAATGGGTGATGTTAGCATAGCAACCGAAGCTAAACTGACTACTTGCTATTGCTATCCTATTGTGGCATAAACCGTTTTCTACAGGCACATTTTACCGGCGTATTTTTATTATGATTCTACTTGTGATAGTCAGACACGACAACCTGTGCAGCCCATGTATTGATTCCATCCGATAGCTGCTATAATACAAAACAACACGTCTGCCTCTCTTCACAATGATCAATAACAATGAACGGATGGTCAAAGTAAGGTACAAATAAACAGAATCACACGAAGCCTGGTTAGTGTTGCCTGACTTTATAAAGTGTGTTTATAAGCACTACTGCTTGTAGGCAGGCATGACAGTCGACCCATGTTCAGGGGATGTGGGTTTAGTTTCCTGCACGCCTCGACGTAAGAGAGACGTAAGCGACGCCACCTCTTAGCTCCGAAGCTCTTGCCTCTAGACCGACAATTTTTTGGAACTGGAAGTGAACCGGATTCCGGAGCTAAGAGCCGGCGCCGCTGCGGTGTGAACAGGAAAAACCGGCGCTTTTCAGGCTCCAGCTCCGAGCCGGAGCTGAAAAAGCGCTGGTGTGAAAGGGGCACTAGAGAGAACAGAACATATTTGATTTAAAGAAAGACTGAGGCCATACATTAATACAAAAATATCTGTTATTTTTATTTAAAAGCTACACTTAGGAGAAACTGCTTTGTGTTTCATAAAACAGCATTCACTCTCAGTTAGTTGAATGTCCAACAATAAGATTCTAAAAAGGGATAGAGAGGCAGACGTATAGTTCACTTTGATGGAGGATATTCTCTATTATGTTGCTGAACTATTTAACTTTTCTGTTATACTAATGCTACACCAAGGCCTTCTCCAGTCTTTGTTGTTCTGCCGTTTTATAAGCAAACCCAGGGCCACCTTGCTACCATTAACTGGCATTCCTACATAAGCCTTTCTGTAGGACTGAGTCACTCTCGAAAGGTCAACATTTTGCTTTCAATGGCAAGTCAAATGAAACAGGTTTGGCTTTATGTATACCCGATTATTAAAGTGTGAACAAATATTTTAAACTGAGAGCTTTCACAGCACAGTTTGTGCACAGTGAAAGATATAGAGACAATACTACCAGTATGAAGTGTGACAAAAAATACTAAAATTACAGCATATATTTTCAGATTTATATACATTATACATATTCTGTATCTGTCTTGTTGTTGTTTTTCTTTCAATTTTGAACAGTAGCTCCCTGTTAGTATCAGGACAGCAGAAAGGCTACATCTCTTTTGTCGTAGAAAGTTTAATCACACCTGCTTCAACTGCGCCCTGATCCTTCAAATAAAAAAACGTTTAAATATATAGTATTACTTAAAATGGTAGTAATGTGCTTGCAGGATTCTTGATGTTCTGAATCGACCCCCTCATTGTTGATTTACCTATTGTGAGTCACTTAATGTAATTTAACGTGGATTGTGGATACCAAGATTTGTTCCCATGGAGATGATCCATGTGTCCATAGCAGCATGACGTGATTGGCTGAGGGTGAACAGGAATCAGTTACATCACCTAATGCATCATGTGGTTCTATTCAAAATTCCATGTGAATCGTTATGGTCTCCAGGGGATATCAATGAACCTGTGAAACACATACAGTAAAGGCTGTTATGAAACTAACAGCTCTTTGTGTATACATTAATGATCTGGGTCAGTGACTCTGTGCACAGTTTGTGTGCGTCACTGACCTTTGTGTGACTGCGTTGAGAGATCCTCCCTCCAAAAAGCTCCATGCTCTTTGTCACTCTCATGAATCCGTAGCTGAAGCAAAGTAAACACATAGAACGGAAACCTTTCACACAGTAATAATTTCCGTGGAGCATGCTGGAATGTAAAATCTGATTATTCAGTGACAGAGTGTCCGAATCCCGGCAAGAGTGAAGAGTCGCTTACACAACCTGCACTATCCGCAGGTTATGAAAACACACAGCTGCGCCATTGGATGAAGAAGGGGAACTGGATGGATGTAGGGAGAAAACAGGGGGTGTAAACAGCCGGCAAATACTGCTCTTTCTTTCCTCTTCTCTCCACTCTGTAGTTATATAATGGTCCAATGGAAACAAAGCAGAGGAGGAAACAAACAAGCAACAAGCTCCCCCAGTGTCTTCGCTGCTAGGCAGCCGTTGCCAAGGCTCTCGTAGCAAGTTTGTGCTCACGATGAAGACTTGTTGTTGTGTTAAGATTGTGCATTTGTAACTATATGGTTATATATATGTTGTCGTTACTAGACAAATGTAATTCACTGGAAAAAGTGTGTCAATAGCTGTCATTGAGCTGCAGAATGTGTGGAAGCTGCAGCTGACACAGAAGCTCTTTTGTTTGTTTCTGGACATTCTGTGCCCAACATGGTCAGCAAATACAAAGTTTACCAAGCAAGATGTCTGCGTGGAGTCAACCAGGTTCATCCAGATAGTACCAAGGGAAATTCTGGAATATTTATTTTTGAAGCCTAAAAGGTTTTCCTGCCTTTACCAATGGATACAATAAACACTTAACTAAAACCAGGGTATATAAACCCAGCTAATGGACTTTGTCTTTTTCTAAGACACCAAATAGAGGAGCAAACGCATACAAGTCAGGATTTAGAAGTAATCCAAAACGCATTTTTCACGACAACAATGAACAAATCCCAAACAGAGAGGATTGGTGGTAATAAACATATATGACTAAGTAAGAAACATTAACAGTTTTTGGATTAAAATATAAGATAAGAACTTTATTGATCCCAATTTGGGAAATGTTTGTGTTGCAGCAGCATAAAAGACATGGCATTGTACAATACAAATTAAAAGACAAGAAAGTAGAAAATATACATGTTGAATTTACAAATTAACAATAACAAGATATATAGCAAGGTATTATATTTACATAAGTATGTGACAGATGGAATATTAAATATTAGGCTGAATATATAAATGTAAAATGTACAGTGAAGAGGAAAACTATGGAGCAGAGAGTTCTCTTCCAGCCAGAGGTGATTATTGAAATATTGCTTAGGCAAGGCAAGTTTATTTATATAGCACTTTTCAACACAAGGCAATTCAAAGTGCTTTACAAAAAATGAAAGAGATTAAGAAAATGGCATTTAAAATTAGTCATTAAAAAGAAAAGCTAATAAAATAAACATTAAAAGAAAAAATACACCTTAGGGTTAGGGTTATGTTCAGGGTTAGGGTTGGATAGATTGTAGATTGGTGCATGAAAGCAGGGGACATCAGCTTTCCCAACCCATTTAAATCACAGCAAAAGATACAAATACAGACTCCTAATTTTGTCCGAAATGTTTTTATTCACATGTTAATCGTAACAAGATGATGGAGAAAATAAGCTCCATTGGTCAAAGGCTGTCCAAGCACACTCTCCTGTGTTTGTATCTAATGTATCTATGTGTCTGTTTCCAGGGAGAAGCTCAGTATCGGAGGGAACCAGTTATTGGGGGTCAAAGAGGTCCTGGATCGCTGTGTTGGGGTCACCTGTCAACACATCAACTTCAACACATCTCGGGCCTGATGATTCAGAATTAGAGAGTCTGCACGTCAGCCAATCAGATGCACTAAATAAACTGATATCCTTTACTTTAAGTGAAAACTGTCAATTGCAGAGGTGCTCATACTCTGGAGACTGAAGCCGTTTACCTTTTTTTATTTTCCGTTAAAATGTATAAAATGTTTCTTATGATACTCTGCTTCACACAAAGGGATGGATGTCTATGGATTTTCTCCTTATTTCTTAAGGGTGACACCTTTTGTTAAAGAGAGTATTTTCCCACCAGTTCTCAACACTTACATCTTGATTGTTTTATACGCACACAAAGTAGATTGTAAAATGCAGTGTCCTCCTGTTTCACTGAAGAAATGGTTACAAACCATGCTTTAGACTTAATGCAACCAACTGCAAAGTATACAGTAGCTTAGAGATAAAACAAAGGTATCAAACCATATCGTTATATAACCTTAAGTTGTTTACTGCCTGAGCTTTTTCCTCAAATCATGACTCTTTAAGGCCAAGCAATGATCTAGTAAAAAGCTGAAACAAAGAGGCAATTTATTTATTTTATATTTTTCTACTTGAGCTATCAGAGAGGTTGTCATTTAAGATGAGTCTATTTTGAAAAACAATGAGTGTTCAGCTTCCGAAGGTTTTTGGTTGATTTTTAAGTAGAAATGTAAATAATTTGAGAACAGAAAATATATTTTATGTAAAGGAGTTAAATGTTTACAAGAAATAAATGTTTTGGCATTATCTTTTTTCTCAAATGTATTGCTTTCATCAATCAATAGTGCTGCTTCCTGCAGTCCTCAGTGAGTGTGAGTGCATGTGTTTGTAATGACTAAGTGGATCAGGTCGCAGGTGACAGTCTGAGATTACACCTGCTGCTGCTGTGAGACACACACACACAGACACACACAAACACACACAGTCACACACACACACACACACACACACACACACACAAACACACACACACACACACACACACACACACACACACACACACACAGGGGAGAGAAAAAGTTACAGGTGCCCGTGCCAATGATGAAGTCATTGAGCTTCCTGTCTCGTTATCTCAAAGCAGAGTTGGACACTATGTCGACACGCTGTATTTTAACATACTGTTCCGTAAAGTTGGACTGTGACCTTTAATTTAGTTTCCTGCGTCATAGGTGTATTTACTGTCCAAAAAAACCCCAATCCTTTATTAAGGGTGCATTGAATTGTCAATGTCCTCTTTATTAATTTCTAGATATAATCCATAGTCATGCCAGCGCAGCCTGTGCAAAACGATAGATATATAATTTATTGATCCCAATTTGGGAAATTATTTTGTTACAGAAGCAGCAGTGTCTTCAGACATTAAAATACAAATACTTAAAAAGTGGAAAAGAGAAATAACAATTACAAATAAGATGAAAATGATTATATCAAATATAAACAATATAAATATTCTGGATAATAAAAAAGTCAAAAATACTGCAGTAGCAGGAATATAGTCTTATACTACAGGAGCATTCCTGTAGTATACATATACTACAGGAACTTGTCATTTGAATCACTTGTACCTTTTCTCTCTTTAGAAACTGTATCTGCCATGAAACAGCTTTTATTCTGTTAGTTGTGGTGTACATTTCTTAATTTTCACCCAAATGTTCATCTCCTCTGGATTATTTAATTATTGAGGTGTTTCTGTGTTGGTTGTAAATATGAATAATGAACAACAGGAAGCTCATTACATTAATCCTTTTTGAGCTTTATAAATGCATGCAATACTGCATTTACATTCGTAGTTGCCTTTACAATAAACTATGGCCTTGCTTTTGTTACTTTTTTGTTTCAAACCGCGAGGAAGCCAGCAAAGCTTGTTCCCAGTAAACAAGGCCGGATGGACGTTAGCCGACATAATTTACTGCCTTTCTGCTTCTTAGAGTACAGACTCAGTGTCTGAGTTTAAGCCTCTGCTTCCGGTAGCACATGGCCCATCTGCTGCCCCCCCTCCCAATGACTGAGGTGTATCAGCAGAGATTATCAGGGCCTAACTTGTGAATGACTGCTGGGTAGAGATTTAATAAAGCGTCAGTGAGGTCATGCAGATGCTGGTCCTCTCAGCAGCTCATAGTGACGTTGTCCCTTCCTGCTGAGGTCCGAGAGCCGGCTCAGTATAATCTCTCCTAAAAGACACTTAGAGCGGCAGAAAAATACTTGGCTTAGTGTGGTATTTCCTGAAAGCTAAGACCGCTACTTAGTTACTCGATAGTTAGAGCAGGACATGTGGAAGACGAGGTGGTAGTCAAATCTACATTTAGTCAGCAAATCAGCTATACTTGGGTTTGTTCAGCTGCTAAACTACCTCTAAAAATACAGTCACACTAACTATCTTCCATTTTTTACTTAAAATGTTAAAACCGTCCTGGCATAGTTACTTTAAGATTGGTATAAACAATGGAATCAGGTGTGGCAAAGTGATTGTCCATTATCACTTAATGACATACATTCAGAGAGTAGGCTGGAGACAAAATCAGATTTAAATGATTTATTAATTAAGAAATGTTACAAATGTGTTAATTCTCGTTTTTAACATTCCCTTCAGAAGAATCTGCCAATGCCTGACACTTTAAAACACAAAAGAGAAATAAGAAACTTCAGTAAACTGCATCTCTACATACATTGATTAGTTCAATCACAATAACAAAAGTTTGGTTAGCAGAAGCATGGTTGTGCGTGTGGTGTGTGTGCACAAAGGTATTACTAAAACTGGCACGATTCATTAACTTCAAGCCATCTGCTACTACTTTTATCAGTAAATCAGCAGTGTATAAAAAAATATAAAAAAGGCCATTTAAGATTCAAAAAAGCAATCCAGCTCGTTTAAAATGACAGAAATAGCCATGAGGTGTTTTTTTTTTCTAACTCGCACTCTCCGAGTAAGGCTTCAAGTTCAAACCACTGACCATTAAATGTGAGCAAAGTAACATTTCTACAAATAAAACCTTCAAAGTCAATGGTCACCATACTGCCACGTTCCAAGTGACCGATAACTGCTAGCTCATCTGAAAACCCTCCAGTGAAAAACCTTTCAACTCTTAAGTTAAAAAGAAAAGCACTAAATGTGTATTAAATGTTGGCATATGACAAAAAATGAGGAAGAAACAAAATATATACAGCACGAAAAACATTGTATGCAATATGCAAAGGCGTCATGTTGCTTTGGGCAACCCCCCCGCCCCCCTCCCTTTTATCCCACCCGCCAAATACAAGCCAGTCTTCACTGAAGACCCCTCATCACAACAATCCCCATCCCCACCCACACAGACAAAACATCACGAAACACGATTACGTCACTAAGCCTGTTAGTTTGGAAAAGTTGAAGCACTGAAACTCCAACCCCCTTCAGTCAGAGAGGGGAGACAGGGTCGTGGTGCAATCGTTCCACTCGTCCGTCTCGGGGTTGTACACCTCCACCGTGTTGAGGAACTCGTTCCCGTCGAAGCCGCCCACAGCGTAGATGGTTTCTCCCAGCATGGCCACGCCCGCGTTGCTGCGGGACGACGTCATGCTACCCAGCATCCTCCACTCGTTGCGGGCGGGGTCGTACACCTCCACACAGCGGAGCGCGTGGGAGCCATCGAAGCCGCCAATAACAAACAGTTTGCCTGGACAGAGGGGGAGACATTGCCATCAACATAATGACAAACAAATAACTTTGTCTGCTTCCTGTTGATTTTTGCACATGATGCTGCCGTAGATCAGCAGCTGATTTAACTGATCATTGTTGTCGTGAGCTGACCTGCATGGACAGCGACAGCGGCCCCCCTGCGAGCCACGTTCATGGGGGCGATCAGGGTCCAGGTGTTGTTCTCGGGGTTGTAGCGCTCCACAGTGTTCAGGCAGTTCCACGACTCCGCCCCTCCGATCACGTACATGAAGCCGTCCAACTCGCACACGGCAGCCTGGTGCCTCCCTGGAAGAAGAAAATGTGATTAATGAATTAAACTTTCTAATTGTTCCTCAGGCTGCAATTATCACACAAGCAAGTCTCTGATGAATAGCTATCCAACTCTTGGTCTTGAATAACATGTTCTCTGAGCTGCAACACCCAGAGGGAATAATTAAAGTGTATGCAAGACAGGAATTTGTTAGATCTCTGAAAAATACATTATTCAGCTTTATGCTTGAGGTTAGACCATGTTATACATATTCAAATTATATATATATATATATATATTATTACTATATTTTTAGTGCATGTGTAAACGTACTGATGTTGAGGGAGGCACAGTTAGACCAGGTTTTGATCACAGGGTCAAAAGCATCACAGTTCTTCAGGCCCTTCTGCCCGCAGGGGTCCGACCCACCCACAACGTAGAGTTTGTTGTTCAATGAGCAGACACCTTTAAGAACAGAGACGTTGACTGACTGAATTACACCTTTATTTACTCAGGGCAGAAACTCCAACAGTAAAATGGATACAGTATGCAAATACAAAGTTGGACAAGAACCATAGTGAGACATTTGAAACAGAAACAACTATTTGTGGACAATATAAGACAGGAATGAGCTGAATAGTCAAACTAGCTTGATGTTAGCAACAGAGAGGCTACTTGGTATAAGAGTTTTCCTGGATAACACTTTTAAATTCAATTATCAGGTATAGAAGGAGGGACCTACCAGCATTGCAGCGGTTTGTCCTCAGCTCTGGCACTTGAGCCCACTCGTCAGCCTGTGGATCGTACATCTCCCCGCAGCTCAGCTCATCAGAATGTCCATTTGATCCTCCAATCACATACAGCTGACCCTGTGAGGTAGAAATATCAAAATCATTATATTATGACAATTACATTAAGTTAAGAGAATTTAGAAACCCCACTAGTTGCACAGGGAGGCATGCAGTGGATATTTGGATTCCTTGCTCAATGTTCAAAATGTCGCTTCAGGATGAAAATGTAATTGTACCATGAGCACAGCCATCTGGAATCGAGCCCTCGGAGTCCGCATGGGAGCAATGAAGGTCCAGCGGTCCTCTTTGGGGTCGTAACACTCCACAGTCCTCAGACACTCCTCTCTGTTGTATCCTCCTGTGGGAACAAGATAATGTATCACATTCAAGACAGTGGATCCCTGTGGTCATCATTTTGCAATTTGTCCCTGACAATCAAGCCTAGAGAGAAGCATTTATCTTCCCAAGTATCACAACCTCCGTTTAGCTCCAATGACATAGACCTTAGTCATTTGATATAGAAGCGTTTAGTGCTAACCTGCTGCGATGAGTCTTCCGTTCAGGGCCACGGCGCCCAGACCGGAGCGAGCGTAATGCATGGGAGAGAGCGGCTGCTCCTCCAGCTCCTCGGGCTGGGCCTCGAAGCTGAGGCTCTTCATCAGGCAGGGGGTGGCAGAGGGGGAGGTCTGAGGGCTGCTGCGACCGTGCAAGAAGATCACACACAACACACCATCCAGCACAGCCAGACACAGGTAGGTGTGGTCTAGAGGTTTGATTGGAGATCGTTAGAGCCATTCGAGTGTTGAAAAAAGGAGCCTCAATCATGCATAGGATTTAAATAAAACAATATTTCTGAATGTACTGTAGTTCATGTTCACTTACTTGTGGTCTTCTCAGAGGCGATGTACTTCCACTCTCTCCGGCCGGTCTGTTTGGGCGCATTAGCTGCTTGGTTGGAGGGCGACAGGCTTCCCGAGGAGCTGCAGCTCATCTGTCTCTGGGTGCTCTCCCGTACGGGTTTCTTCTGCAAGAGCACAGTGCAGCTACAGAAGCCAAGCTTGCACCACAGGCCCACCAGTGGCCACCACACCAGGTAATCATACCCCCAAACTACGCTCTGATCCAGCTGATCTAATGTAGACGTTTCTTTTGATATCTCACGCCTTCAGAAGCCAACAACACAGCACTGCAAACTACTGTCTCAGACCGCACCACAATCAGATCTAACAGCACACAGTTCAGTCACAAAGAGGGTAGAAATCTGCCCATTCCCAACTGGGGGAGATTAGCATTTAACATTAAAATGTAGTTTTAATATATGCTCAACAGCATAGCTAGGCAGGCATCGTTGCTCATTTGTTTATTCACTGACATTTGTCTTAACATTGTGGAATGAAATGAGCCATATCTACTTCTTGCCAGGCACAGGCTGCGATTACTTTTATGCATGGCCAGGCACACACTGCCAAGCAAAATGAGACTTCATTACAGTGAAGCCAGGCACAAGCTGTTGAGTACCTGCACAAACTGAAGGTGGTCCTCCTCGCCACCAAACACCTCACTGTGCCCATCAATCACCAGCCCTCCATCCACCAGCTTATGGTCAGGTGAGTAGTACAGCGTTTGCACCTGAAACACAAACAGCAACAACATACCCATGTGGCTGTCTTCATGGCAACACACTGAGAACCTCAGCATAACGGGGAAAGGGGGAGGGAAGAGGAGTAGGAGGAAGGGGGCTGTGAAGAGGAAGAGGGGGAAGGGACGAAGGCCTGGATCTTCGGTCACTTGGATTGAAAGCTTCCCTTAAAAACACACACGCTGCTGCATTAAGTGTTCGAGCTCAAGAAGGAATCTGACAGTTTGCATCTAAAAAAAAAAAGAGGGAGCTGATGAAGAATGAGAAGCTGCATCTGGAAAGATCTTCTGTGAAGAATCAAGAGAAGGAGGAGGAGGGGGAGAGGGGGCTGCATGTGGCCCTCTCTCCACCTCTGCTGCTGCTTGGAAACCGGTCTTCTAGCTGAACAAGTTGGTCATAGTGATGGCAGCCACAATGTCCAGGTACATCCAGATGACTAAAGGTGGTGGTGGTGCTGTTGTAACAGCCCTCGAGCTCATTTTAAAAGATACCGATTGATGGATTAAATTCAGGAAACAAAATAAGCATAATAAAATGATCATTTGTGTGGTCCCTTAGTCGACCATTTGAAGGGCAGGTTTTACTGTGGAAACAGATTATCTTGAGAAATGACAGAAAAACAATCTAAATAAAAAATGTAAATGGCCAAAAGGTATTTTAATTTATTCAAATGTGCTGAAAATTCAATTTCAGCTGGATGGTTAATTATTAATTTATTCCAATGTAAGATTTGTTCAATTTAAATGCTTATGTGCAATGCCCAATTTGACTGGTTCTTGATTGTTTCAATGGATAAGTAGGCCGGTATGAGAATATATTGTCATGTGCCAAAGGGCCAATAAACGACTTATTTATCCCAAAGGTTTGGAGGCAATGTATTCTGGTAAATGCACAAATGGGATGCATCTGTATATGTGGCACGGACAGATGGGAGCTCAGTGTTGCGTGGCTGCAAGGAGAGGCAGTAGTGCTCCTCTCCTCCCTCTCTTTCTCAGACTCATTACCCTGGTGGCTCAGTCGTGGCTCTTCAGTCTGGTCTCCTGCTGCTGCTAATAAACCTACAAGAGAGATAAATCAACGGGGAGGAGTGTCTGTTAGTGCTGGAGCAACAAACCTGTTCAGATAGTAAAGTGGCAGTGAATAAAGGGTCACCTCTGTGAGAACCTGTGTTTGTGTGTATCAGAGGAGAAGAGCACTGAGACACTCGTACTCCGATGGGGTTGCACATAAACCAACCACAGACCCAAAAGAGGACAGTGGAAACAAAAAACAAGAGCAAACGCAGCTCTTTTGGGCTCACCTCTAATTTGTAGTATGGTTCAGGGGTACAGAGTTTCTTACTGCAAAAACCTCAACAAACCAGAGGGAACAAAAAGAACAATCCTGACATAGCAGCATGACAATGGCATGCTTTTTCTACTTCAGCCCCCTTAATGACTTCTTAATGTCAAAAACAGGATTCAGAGGGAAGGGAAGGGGCAGGGTGGGAATGAGGATCAGTCTGAGAGTGGAGCCTGCTCGCCCGGGTACTGACCTCCTCCATCAGGCGGTCCAGGTGGTCCCCGTTCTCCCAGAGGCTGCGCTGCACCCAGCTGAGCACCTTGGAGTAGAGCTTGCCATTGCTGGGCAGGGTCAGGTTGTCTTCTAGCATTACTTCTAACTGTAAACACACAAAGGGAATGAAACAGGAGTCAGATACACAGTAGGAATAAAGAGACTCCGTAGCAGAACAATTTAACATAATGACCCCTATTGTAAACTAAACTTCATCTTACTGGCTGATGTTACCATAGGGTCAGGATTAAACATTGTATCCTTACACAAGGACATCAGCAATATTAATGAATAGCATGCATATTTGATTGATCAAATTTGCACTACCTCAACAAGTGAGTTCTGATAAAGTACCTTGCGCAATCCTCATGTTGAACAAAAACATGTACACTATAACCCAACTGGGCTAAGCCTTACTATTGCATATGCCCCCATAAGTCCCCTGCCCTAAATAAATCCTCAGCCGGCTTTACAGAAGGGAAATCTATAAGAGGCACACCTTCCTACTATAGGTCATGTTAATCTCATGTCGGAAAGGTAAAAATACAGAGCTTAATCCAGTGCGTGTTATTCAACTCAAGACCACCAATCCTGGCCAATTTAAATGACATAAGTACACATTTAAGCTAGTACCTTGAGGCGGGGGAGTTTGAGAAAGTCTTCCTGTTCAGACACTTCCAGTAGATGGTCCTGGATGAAGGCGTCCACCTTGGCCAAAACTCTGGCATCTCCCATAGAGCTGGCAAAGTTACGGAAAGAGATGGCGCTCTGGGAATCCATTTTAGAAAGCAGGTAGTCACCACAAATCTGAGAAGCGAGGGACAAGTGGACATTTATTAAAACATCTGTTAAACTGTGTTCCTAAAGGCGTGTCCTGTAATGTAGACCGTTAAAAACATACCTGTTTGACTCGCTCCATCTTGAACCTTTTGGCTGCAGAGTAAACTTCCTTAACTAGTTCTTTATCTGCCTTTAGCCTGTATTACACAGAGAAGACACAACAAGTTAGGGGGTTGTCAACCATTTAAAGAAGTTGAGAATTTTGATATGATAGGATCAGAGGCAAAAGGTGCTACTTACTGGGCAGTATAGGCATAATTGAGCAAGATCTCCACAGCCTCTGGGTCCAAGTCCTCAAAAGTGACATGAGACACTCCGTGAGGCTCAATGTCACTATTAAAGATCTCAAACAGATAGGGACTGCAGCAAGCCAGGACAGCACGGTGAGCCATCAGCTCATGACCACACACCTAATAAAAAGAAGAAGACAAATAATCAGGATGTGTGTAACTTTGTCACAGGTAAACAACTGCTAGAATTGTAGTGTTTGAGCATTTAAGGAAGCTAAAGAAACAAACCCAATATTGGTTGAGAAGCTACACGATGAATAGTTAGAGTTATCTCTTGTTTCCTATTGGCTGCATACGTCTCTCAGAGTTCTGAACTATACAAATGGTGGGAACAGGTTCTCACACTTGAAATAGAGCAACGGAAACATAACAGGAAACATTTAAGTAAATACTTGAGTTTTTTTCTTGTTACTAAATGTGTAAATATTCACACCCAAAAAACCCAGTGAACTAACCAATGGCCAAACAATACATTGAGCTAGGGCTGCTCAATTAAAATCGTATTTTAAATTGCAATTACGATTTTCACTTGCAACGATTATGAAAACAACATAAACGAAATAAAACAATTTTTTTTAAATAAATGATTGGTTTTTCAGTTGAATTGAATGAATCAACTGTTAAAAACATACTGTTCACTTTTTTTCTCCTATAAATGGATGTTTTCAAAGTAAATGGATAATCTTTTTTAATAATCGTGATATCAATTATTGACCCAAATAATCGAGATTATGATTTTTGCCATAATCGAGCAGCCCTACATTGAGCCTAACAGGTTGTAATGATATCTTCTGGGTTTCAAATGGTTTTTGTATTACTTTAAATCTGTTGTCATTTTTGTGATTCACTACGTTGTTGCTAAAAAGGGTAAGTGTGTGTTTGAATTGAGCGTACCTGCAGTCTAACATCGCAGAACTGACCACTCTTTCTCAGAGCGTTCATTTTGGCCACGGTGGAATCCAGGAAACTCTCATCCTCAAAGATCAAATAACCGTTGGGAATCATCTTGGTGAATCTTTTTTTAAATGGTATGCCTGTAGAGCAAAAATAAACATTATTTTTTTTAAAAGTCAGCAATAATACTCAGCAGGCTTGTCTTTTGCACTCTGTCCAACATGCTTTCAGCCATGGAATATTGTAATAGCAGTCTTTATTAATTGATGACAAAAAGAGGATTAGGATTAGTTTCCTGTAATGTGCATTGTGTTTTATAATCAGTCCCATGCATTAGTCATGGCCTTACCGAATAGAGTATATTGCAAATCCAGGGAAGCAGAGTCGAAAGTAGGATACAGGCAAAGCAAACTGAGATCACAGCGGAACTCGAGTCTTCTTTATCCAAGGAAGGTACGTCGTTAGAAGAAATGCCAGTTGACTAAAACAGGCTCGAGTGGAAGGGAGAGGGGGAGCAGCCGCACGGACAAACTATCAGGCTTGAAGCGACTGTAATCAAGTCCTCGGGATCCCGTTGGCTATAGAGTTGTACTTATTCTGTGTTGGTAATACATTATAACCTAGAAGAAAAGGAGAAAACAGAATGGTACACAAGGTTAATTGTTTTTTCCGAGTGGACAGACAGCCTATTCTTGGCACCCATGCAATGCTAGCATGAGTCAGTTCTACCACGCGGTATATCAAGGCAACCTTGCACACGGGATCACATTTGAGAACACAGCCCCCGATTGTGACACTATGTCACAATCGAAGAGAGAGGAGATCCTCCTTTATCTATATTCCACTAGCCGTAAAAAATATTGTTCCAATCAGATGTTCACAGCCAAAATTAACACAACTGACGTGATCCCATGCCAAACAACGTCTCCTCACCGCTATGCCATCTGCAGTGAGAGGCTCGGTGAATAAATTCCACTGCAGGCCCAACAGTTTTATCACTATACCAAATGGGGCAAGACAGACGACAGCAGCTGCCCGCAGTCTGAAATTGTATCCATGTTGCATGTGACCAGGCTTTCATGGACAGATAGCTTTCTGCGAGTGTTCTATATCTAACTCGCATGCATTTCTAATTCATTACAAAAGACTGTGATTTACTTAATTACTGCACAAGTATATAATGCACTGTACGTGCGAGTCAAGGTGCTGCCAGTGGCCCATTCAGTGGAAGCATGTGAATCATTGTGCAATCATGTTTTCAGATAGCTTGGTGTACATGACCTTTAACTTTGAAGTAATATTTAACCTTGCAGGAGCTTGGTCTACGACTGTGTACGACGTAGTTGCAGTGCTAGTATGACAGACAATATCAAAAAATGATCAGCATTATCTTTGTATGCTGTTGAATAATCATCTTATCCACAATCAGATGTCTTAAAGGAAAATCTTGCAAGCCCATGTCTGAATGGCTCCTTTACACTGAAATAATGTTTGTATGTAACTTCAGCTGAAAAACAATCTAGTAATTTTCTTCTGCCATGAGCAATGGCTTATTATCAAATCATCAACAACTACTACACTTTGTACACGAATAAGACAACAGATCTAACCTTCCTCGCAAAATTAAATGCTTTGCCTGTTATCTGAAACTGCCATAAATCCAATACTTAAAATCCCCCACAATGCACAATTAAATGTGTGTGCTGTGCCAAATCAACACCACAACAAAACACTTAAAGCCAATGACCTACTAAACTAAAAACCACACTGTGAATTCAGTAATCATAAAATAATCAGAAGGGGGAATTATGTTCGGAACCGATTACTATCCTCAGCCTGCATTTATTTTGCTAATCATGTGCAGAGGGTGAAAGTTAAACACACACTGAACATCCCGTTTTGCTTAGACGAGTAAAAGGAGGATGTGTAAAACTACCAGACTGCTGGAAAGTATGCCAGAGACTTTATGGGCAAATGCTCTAGCATGATGCCACATGCTAGAATATGGTATTTTTGTATTGCACTGAAAGCTATAATTCATGCTGTGTGTGGACGGAGGAAACACTGACCCAGTTTCTTGTCGTTATGCAACATCTGGCAGAAGACTCTTTGTTAAAGCTCAAAAGCTTGACTCCTCCACATGGCTGGGCTCTACGCTCGCCTGTTGTCTCCTTCCCCCCTCATTTCTCCACCTAACAAAACACTCTGCCAGTCAAGCCACGCCCCCAGCTATCTGGACAATTATTCAATACAGAGTTGGCAACTAAATGACAGCTGTGATTTAAAAATATTTGCTTTTTGTAAAATGATAGGACAATTTTACTCAATGGCCAGTGTGCAGTAGGTGAAAGAAACCAAAAAAGGACATTTTAGGAATGATTTCTGGCTACATCAAAACTGTCATGTTCAGCATTACACGCCGACTATTAAATTGTTTTCTTCTAGGGAATCTGTTGATCTTTTTTTCCATTTGTGTGGACACCGTATTTGGGTCCATAAATCTGAAAACAGGATAATAACTTGTATAGAAATATAAGAACATATAGAAATGTATATTAGGACAAAAAAGGCAGGCAGACTAGGTGAGCTGTAAATGTGGCTCTTAGCTCTTAGGAAACACAGGAGAGAGCACAAAAGGAACCAAAGTGAGACGTTCACAACTTTGTCACAGAGTAGCCCTGAATGTTTTTTCCCTCTCCATTTTTCCATCTGATTAGTCAGTCACAAAAGTGCAGGCCTGTTACTGAACAATCAATGCTTGTTAGACAGCCCTCCAGTGGTGAAGAGAAGCATTGCTGGATATTTCACCCAGTTCTACGGCGTGGAAATTAACAGAGCTACAATGTAACCCATCTTCAAAAAGGTTCTCTTTAAAATTGTGACAATAAAAAAAATGGAGACAGCTGAATTATGCAAAGGTTGTTTGTCTATAGAAAGTAAAATGTTGCATTTTTCCGAGCATGACCACTCAAACGATAATGATGTGTTATTAATCATCTACTGTAAGTCAAAATCATTGAAATTGTTTTCACCTTTTTAATCACTAATCTACAGTAAATTACTTGTACATTTCCCACATGGTTTCCAGCTTCAGAAACGGATTAAAAGCGTAGTAGGTCAAATACTACCATGGCATAGGGCAACCTGCAGCCGGAAGACACTGACTGAAGCACTTAAGGAAATACAAGTTAAAAATCGGCAGAAAACAATAATTTTACTAGAAACTTAATTAAATACAACTAAACCTCGCCAGACACTGTGCCTCGTCGATATTATGTCAAGACTGTTAACAGCCCATACAATCTGACGATGCCACCAAAGGAGGGTGGGTAAAGGACAGGGTGTATACCACTACGCTACCCACCCTACCACCCCCCAATGGGCGAGTCTTACATTTGGACTCCATTCGCTGCAAAGCAATGTCATTCTCCGGCTGTTGCCTCCTCCTCTGGTGGAGTAATGTACCAGGGCCGTGGTGTCTGGCGACGGGCCAGAAATCATACAGCTACATCCCGCCACATGAAACTGGGTCAGGAAGCAGAGCCCACCAAATATTATTATTATCTCGACTTTTATACGGATTACAAAAGCAGGTATACTTTATTAAAAGCGAGATATCGTTTGGCATACCGTTGACGCAAAGCAGTTAGCAACTGAAGAGAGATGGCACGCTGGAAAGCTACTGCATGTTAGCTTTCTAGCTAGACAACCTGCTGCTTAGCTAGGATGGGAAGCCATGAGACAGCCACACCGGTTGATTTAAAAAAAAATCGGACTGTGGCAAATGTATTCGGTCGTTAGCACTTGTCATTGCTCAAAGCTAGGACTGGCTACATGATTTCGTTAGCTTGCAAAATAATTTTATATATTTATATTTTAATTTAATATATATTTGTATATTTAAAAGCTAGCTGCGGTTTGTGACATTGTCTGCGCCAGTAACGTTACATTTGGCATTTCCAGCCGTTTCCACCCTGTACGAGCAAAGACAGCATCTGCCATTCATGTAAAGAATATTTAGCAGAAAGACAGACACATTACCGTCCGTTGTAACCGACGACTGGTCACATTTTAACACCACGTTAAAAATACAACAGCATTTTCCTCTTTGATTTTTTAAGAGAAATATGTCTTACCTGAGGCGTTTGACAGCAAACGATATTAGACATATTTAATGCAAATTCAGAGTTGGTTGGTTCTGGTCAAAGCAAAGACGCAACGCGACTACAGGCACGGCTCTTCGGACTGGTAGTAGATGTCTGCTCCGCTCTGTATGAGAAACACGTCTACTCCGGGCTTGCTCTGACAGAACAGAAAGAATGGCCGGATGGTGACCGTAAAGCGCGCTCCCGACAAAAGCTGTGCGGCCGACACGCTGCCCGTGACCGCCCAGTGGGCGGTCCTACAACACCAGCTCCTCCCCATTTCCCCTGAATAAAATAAGCTATTTTCATTTCAATCTTTATTTCGAACAGATTAAAAAATAACAAATGTGAAAAAACAGAATACCGTATTGTTAAAATACAGTATTTATCCACATTCATGATACAAAAAAAGTCTTCATATTAATAATAATAATAAAAAATCATATGTGTCCGAAAGGGAGTAGGAGTAAGCAAATGTTTATTAATTCCCACCCCTTACTTGATCAATGATTGTCCTTTAAATGTCTACTAGAGTGTTATGGTATGTTATGTTATGTTTATTTGAACAAGACATATAAATGCACAAACACATGAACCTTATATTTAAGGATGTAATTTACCAGGTTTTTGCAGATTGCTATTTTCCACCTGTAGGCCCTGGTTAAGGCTTTATAGGAAGGGGAGATCATTTGGAAATATAAAATAGATTAAAGTTAAATAAACTACAGGATGAGGATGCAGGATGGAAAGAACAAAGTAATGAAAATACATGATAACAATATTTTAAGAGATGAGTGAGGGTCCTCCTCACACTTAAGTATACATTTCTTGGCTAAAATATCATTAAAATAGCTCCTGTCAGATTCAGCAGTACGACTAATGACACTGCAGGGTGGATGCTTGCTGAGCTAAGTCCAACCTGGACTTTGTTCTAACCTCGGACCAGAATTGTTCCTCTGACTTAGCTTATCATGTCTATATGAAGGTCTATATTTTGAATTTTGCATCTCTTGTCTTTTGAATCCATTAGCTGTTTAATTTATGCTGCTACTGAGCCACATTTACTTTGGTTGAGTCATATCCCCCCATTTTCTGTGAGTCATGACAGCACATAAGTCTTTTGATGTCAATTATGAAGGAACATCCAGGCTAAACCCTCTCCACGACTGCACATATGTTGTCTAGAGAAAGAAGGAGCCATTCACCTGCCTTGACTAAATGTACTAGCTCAGTACGTCAGTAAATAGATTAAAGGATAAGAATCACTTCACTGCCAATGCGTCAGCCAGCCTTACCTGCATGGGGAGTTTGTGTGACTGTTGGGTCTGAGTGTAAACTGGTTTGTGAAAGCCTGCCACCAAATGTATGAGATAGTTGTTGACAGAAATGGTCAACTATTGGTATTCATTTTTTAAATTACCAATATGTTTTTTAATCAGTGACGATGTTTCTTAAAGCCTAAACCCAGAAAAATGAATGTATTAGGAAATAAAGCTTTAGGAATTTCTGCACCTATACTGCATGGAACAAAGTACAAACTGATCTTAAGCTTTAAAACAGAGTAATCCCTAATACATTTAGATCTGTGGCTAAATCAAATGAGTCCAGGTGCTCCAGACACAATGAGTCACATTATACGGTAAATATTTTTCCCATTTTTTTTTCCTCCCCCCACCCTCCCGGTCCTACATAGTAAAGTAGATAAATAGGTACAAATAAAGTAATGTAAAAAATAATTAAAAAAAATTAAGAAATAAAGGTTTATAACAATAATACATACAGTATACCTATATACTCACATATATATATACAGACATATACACATACTTACACATATATATGTACATACATATACCCATACATTTACATACACATATACATACATATATACATACACATACTATATACACATAAGTACGTACATGCATGCATAATCAATTAAAAAAAAGTCACCCCTTCCTTCTTAACTTAGTGTCTTTAGTTCAGCTATGTAGGCTATCGCAGAGCCCCAGACAGATTCAAATATTTCTGATGAGCCCCTCAGGTCATATTTAATCTTCTCCAAGTTCAGATACAACATAAGATCTTTAAGCCATAGAGATGCTTTAGGTGCTAATGAGGATTTCCATTCTAGTAGTATTCTTCTAGCTAATAGAGATGGAAAGGCTATACTGTCCTTAGTTTTCCTCCTCATTATTCTTTTGATCATTTTTAATGTTACTCAAATATGTGCTAATCGGAACTCTACTATGGGGCGGCTAATTGTTGGCCTTTTCCCCTGTAAAATAGATTTGTCTCACTGGGACAGACAAATAAATACATAAATAAAATAAAATAGTTACCAAAGCACAAGACCATTAAACTATAGCCTGAGAAGCACTCTGACCATTGTGTTGAAAGCCACGGTGTTAACAACCAAAGCCAGGGGTCCAGTCAACACAGATTAGGTTTATCAACACAAAGTAATCTCTTTATATCAGCTCTTGTGCTGGTATTATTTCCCTGACACGTTGTGTTTCCATCTGTGTGGGGTTGACATTCCTGACAAGGTGAAATAAGTTGTTGCTGGCAAGAAAATAAATGGCAAGTTTCCAAGAATGGCCACCTGTATCATATTTCACCCCGATTTCTTACATAGCCATGTCTATGTGTAGCTGTTGTGGATGGAGTGCCTCCATACAGACATGCCAGGAAACCAACCAGCCCTAATGTCATATCAACAAAATGTTTTCAATAAAACATATCTAAGTAACATACAGTGCGTGCCATTACTGTTGCATCAGAATGCGACTTCCAAACTTTAACTCATGAAGTGCGCACCCCAAATCAGCAAAGCTGACCCTAAGGTGTCTCTCATTCACTCAAATTGTCAGTTTTGTCTTTACAAAAGCTCTTTTAGGATCTGACGTCAGCATTTTCGTGACTGTCAGCCAAGTTGAATAAAGATCCCTGGCACAAAGATAGTCTATCTCCTCAGCACAGCGTCTGGAGATTCAGACAGGGAAGTGGTGATTACAGCTGATGGAGTGCAGCCAACCATCAGCAGCCTAACTTAAGTAGGTGGTATTAGGAATTGGATTTAGACCAAAAAATTGGTAAGTAACTAAATTGACAAACTAAATACAAATATCTAGAATTATATTGCCATATGCCTTTTAGTATAATTAATTAATTCTACAGGCAGATAAAACAAATTGTAATTAATAGTCAGCACATAGCTCAGTGTTGTCGTACATATGTGACAATAAAATCAAGACATCATTTTGGAAGGTGAACATCTTCTCTGAATTAACTAATCTTATCAAGTGTTGAATCTACAGCACAATCCAATGTGAGTGTGAGTGTGTGTGTGTGTGTGTGTGTGTGTGTGTGTGTGTGTGTGTGTGTGTGTGTGTGTGTGTGTGTGTGTGTGTGTGTGTGTGTGTGTGTTTGCTTAGTCATTCCAAGACAAAGGATGCAGCCCTAATTTTGCTGAGTCATATAGTAAACTCTGGCGGCCCATTCATTCTTTCATTCTACAGAGATTTGTGCAATGAGGCTGCAGAAATGTGTTCTGACAAGAACACTATGAATATTTTAGGTATCTGTGCCAGCGGTAACACGTGGCTGGCACTGATGTTTGGACTGAGTTGAGGCAAGCAGGAGGTTTAGGTCTTTAGAATCTGGAGCGGCACCATTACAAATTGTGCTTATTTCACTTTTAATTGAAACACTATAATGCCAAGATTGTCTTATGTATTTACTGATTTTATATTTAGTGAACTTATCTTTTAGAGTCTGCAAGTATTTATATAGGGGAAATATTTCATTTTTCAGTACTTTTAATTTATTGTTCAATATTATTCTTATTCTTCAATGAAAATAGCAGTCTGAGCATCAAAGATGTACGTGCCTAGCAGTCAGAAACTGTTGATATCACCACTTCCCTACCTCTTCAGGGCACTGCAAAATAAACGGTGCCACATGAGCGTGGAGTTACGCAGTCCTCTGATAAGGTACTGATACACTTTGAAAGTTAACCTCATTAACCATTCGTATCGATGTAACAGGGGCAGTGTTCCAGGGGGGGCAGCTCAAAGCTGAAGAGAATGTCATGTTGTTGTAGTTTATTGGCATCCAAGTTGAAGCTTAATGTCTGAGAAAACATCATATGTATTTAACCTCAGGTTGTCTAGATTATTTCCTAGAATTCATTTCAGTTAATACTAATAAACATGCAGAACTCTGTGTTCAGTGTACAGATAGGGCCAGTGGTAATGACGAATGTTACTTGCATCATGAGTTGCCCTCTGGTCTCTCTATTTGCAACACTAGTAACAGGACTAGCCTTACCACATGTGCTTGAGCTACTTTAATAAATGTGAAATGTGATGATAAAGCCAATTAATACTCTCACCAACAAAACAACACTCATTTTCTAATTGTATTGCAATTCTCCTAAGTAAGGAACAAATCAACAATGCACAGTGCACTTCAGGCATACGGGTGTCCACAACAATACATGGAACATTGTCAAGAAGCAAAACAGCAAAAGAAAGTCACATATGATGCTAATGCCACACAATTTCAGCAAGTTTTATGAAAAGAGGGACATGAAAATACCTACAATTATGTTTGTACAAAACGAATAGTGCAAAATGTGTCTCACCTGCTTTTTACATTCCAAGCTGGTTCAGGTTTTTCTGGAAATGTCAAGAAGTCCCTCAGTAAACAACTTTTAAGAGCAACATGAACCAAGGAAGATCAATAGGTCAAAAGATCAAAGAATATCCTATCAACATCTAATGATTGATTGATGCAATTTTTGTGAAATCTTTGTTTGTGTGTGTACATTATTGGATGTTGCGTAAATGAATGAGACAACACATGATCCCTACTGTGCTCATGCTGGTGACACCATGAAAAACATGCAAATCTGAAAACATGTGACAGTGTGTTGGTCTCGGATAATTTTAATCACGGCTACTCCTATCGTCTCTCTCTCTCTCATCTCTTTCTTTTATCCTTCTGTTTTATCTTATGATTTTTCCCTACTCTTTTTTTTGTTGATGATTTCTTTAGATGCTCATTTCTTTGCAACGCCTTAAAAACGTCAGTCATCCTATTTACTCTTTACATCACTAGCCAGTTTTCTCGTTTGTGTTCTCTTTTCCTTATGACTTTTGAAACAGAAGTATCTAAACCTCATGCATACCTTATACAGAGCCAGGA